GACATATGCAACCATTTTATAAAGAAGATATATAATTTGATGACCTATTTTGTCACGGATAATGAAAACACGATGCTAATATAATTTAAGTCATAAATAGATTTCTCGAGAATTTCCGTACATTATCTATAAACGGAATATACCGACGTACCTGTTCAGTAATAACGCACCCTGGTAAATACCACTGGAATGAAATATCGCGGTAAAGTAGTTTGCCAGTAATAACGCTCACTTCTAATACCTATATCACGAATAATTATGCCATTTTATAATTTCCAAGAGCAGGTAAAGTCTTTGTTGAATGGACAATTGGTGGACCGTTGTTTACAAAAATGTCTAAGGTACTGATTTCTCTGCTTGCGGTTTGTACCATTATATGGAGAAAATATTAATGTATCTACAAAACGTAGCTGTTCGAACGTCTGCTCTACCGCATTGTTCAGTATGCACACCATTTATAAAACAAAGATTAATGAGGGTGAGATATATTGCATGACACATCCATTCTGTAAAATTTACATTTTATACCTGACTCATACAATCAGCTTGTAGCAGTTTTGAAGATTCAGATCAAAATTGTACAGGTCTAGCACATTTAACTGATATATCGACTATACATATCTTAGAAGTTTGCATATAACTTATTTATTGTCGACACTTTTCGTGTAAAACGTGCAACAGCATTCGCAGCATTGTTTCTAAAAATTATTACATATATTTCCGGTTATAAGGATAGGAACCACTATAGTTAGTTAGTGAAATTAACATAGTTGTATGAGTCACATACGTGAGAGAAAAAAAAATAAACAAGACCTAACGAGGTAAATATTTAATATTTTAAACGTGGCATGCGCATTACTGCTGCCCAAAAGCTGCTATCTAGTGGTTTATTGGACTCACTTTTAAAAGTGTCGTACTGGACTGAAAGTTATCCCCGGGCCTGTGTGGCACTAGTTGTTCCAATCTACCTTATTGTGGAGTATTACTATCTCAGTGCTTTTTGAGAACATGTTAATGACGTTATGACGGTACTGCTTTAAGCGCAGTACCAGATTTAGGCATAAGCTAAAAAAGCTACAGCTTAGGGCCCCAAAGTCTGAACTCAGTCTGAAGGGCCCCCTCAAGTTTATTTTATACCAAATATGGCCTCTATAGCTTCCCATAACTTAGTGCCTCGCTTTGTCTAAATCCGGCACTGTTTAAGCGTATATTTGAGAAAGAAATTGAGACAAATTGTCGTCATCAAATTATGATGAATGCTGTCTGGAGGGACATTATTGTACAAACAAAAAAGAAAAAGAAAACGACAAAGCGAAAGAAAAAGCAAAGACAAGGGTGAACGAAACCAGAGAATTTATAAGCGAATGAATAAGTTAAGAATGACAGTTACACTGAATGACTGAATGAATGACTGAATGATTGACTGACTGACTGACTGACTGACTGACTGACTGAATGAATGAATGAATGAATGAATGAATGAATGAATAAATGAATGAATGAATGAATGAATGAATGAATGAATGAATGAATGAATGAATGAATGAATGAATGAATGAATGAATGAATAAGTAATTGAATTTCTCAATTATTGATTGATTGGTGTCTATTACCCAAATAATATGCACAGGAAAGGTTGCCAATGGCAAATATAGGAGGGGTTGTTTAAAATCGTTGTGTGATATATATCAAGAGGGATATATGCTCTTTCAATATATCCTTATGTGTCAAATGAATCACCTGCTCGAGTCCGATAGAAATAATCATCGGCACTTGAAGCGTAAAGCTTTCTGTTTTCGCCTTGCTTTAATTGGGACATTAATCTCCAGATAGGGTCTTACAATGCAGTGTCGCTGGAGAGATTGTGTGAAAAAAAATATTGGCAAATAACCACTTTCTGTTTACCGCAAGCGGCTCATAGTTATAAAATGTGTTTGTATCATCAGTACGACTGAATTATAAATGGACGTGGTAGATAATTAGCAACGACAGGAAGGACGCAAAACTTCTCGACTCTAAATGTAGATGCTAGAGCAAATAAGAACCATATTTCAAAGAACAGTAATATCTTCGAGACATCGGAAAAGGGCTCAATCTAGCATCAATCAAGTTTAGATAGGAAATAAACAACACATCCTTTTACGACGAATAATTGAGATAGGCTTGTTAAAATAATGTTATACAAGATATCTTTCTTTTTACCATGATTTGATCTGCCATTATGCCTTGATATGATTAATACATATGCGCGCTGGTCTTTCTCCAAAATCAGGTAGAGAAAATGTAAGCTTATTGTACATTGAATTTATGTAATGGAGAAATGCCATTGGTTTTGCATTAATGTACAGAAACCTTCCACTTTATCATTGGAGGTCCATTGATTAGCTTTCTAGCTTCTCTCAAAGCACTATGGATGGATATATTTCTCTTCACTTAACTTTATCGCAAAGACATTTTTTTGCAGGAAGGTTTCTGTCTAAGCTTTCTCGAAAATTGCCTTTTGTAGAGTATGTGACTGTCCAGGAGTGGATCTTAAACGCTCAGTGCGGACTACTTTTTGAATGACCAAACCTTTCTAGGGTACTTTTATTGCCAAAGTGGTATGATAATTGTCCTATTATTTTAATTATTAAAAGTACAATTATAATTATTTGTGAAATCCAATTCTACGATTTATATAGGACCAGTGGCGTCACTGGGGTAGGGTGGGGATGCGGACCGCACCGGGTGACATCATCAAAAGAGAATTACAATAAAATGACTGTTTATAATTTAAATTAACTTTTGTGCAGGAAAGAGGTCCATGGGGTGACACCATGAGTTACCACACACGACTGTCTATTAAATGATTGCATTTTTGTGTAGAAAGGGAGTCCATGGGGGTAACAAAATGAGTTACTGCACTGGGTGACACCAACCCTAGTGACGTCACTGTATAGGAATTTGGAAATCAGATGAGCGGAGCAATTGAAGTCTTATGAGCTGTTCGACAAGGTATGTACGTACTAGGTATCTGAATATATTAGTTGATGCTATGAGAAGAATTCAAAATTTAACTTACTGCATACAAATCTGTCATCGGAAAGCCTAAAGGGGCAGAGATCTGATAGAACAATTGAAAGACCAGTCTTGGTACTGTGTGGGCTTTTTAGGTGAATTATATATTAGCTTAAATATAAAACTCTATTTGACTACATGTAGAAATTTCAGCGGTTAAAAAAAACCAACAAAACAACAAGGTTTGTAATACATTAATACCATGTCGATCGTGAATGCCTATTTTTAAAGAGATCATGCCATCCGAAATTCCTACATGTAATCAAAAAGAGTTTTATATTTAAGCTAATATATATTTCACTTAAAAAGCATACCCATCATAAAAACGGACAAGAATCGGCCTCTTTCTGCTGGACTAGCCCATCGGTTTGCTATGGAAACGGAGACTGGTGAAACAGGGCCCTGGAATGACAGGGTACAAAACAAATTATTGGCGTGCAATGGGTCATTTAAAGAATTCGAAAGTATTTTGTTCATGGGCAACTTCTGATTGATTATTGTTGGTGGTCCGCTCAGTAGTTTCTTCCAAAGGGTAGAGTCACAGAATTGGCTACATGCTTCAATCTGGCACTTTTAATAACCAGAATTTGCTTTCGTTCCCTTGATCAAGATACTTAGTCCCCTTGGTACAACCCCCTCATGGGTACCACCATGTGTTAGCTTTCACATTCGAAGGACTGACTACTAAATCTGGGCTCAGAAGATTCGTACACTCACAGTCGCTTCAAGCATTTTATTTTGGGAAAAACTCCAACATTATGATCCACTTAATGGTGTTTGAAGGCTTCAACGAGTCCAGGAATAATTAATGTTCATAGACAGCAACAATATTTTCTTAGTCTTGCAAGTCGCGTAATATTTATGAGAATAATTAAGGAAATATCATTGTACGTGTATCGCTAACCACTTCGCAACGTCAAACGAAGTAATGAAGTGAGGAAATAATAGAGTAAAATAGTGTTTATAGTGTTCTATCTCTTTATCTGTCTCTGTCTCTCTATCTGTCTATCTGTCTCTGTCTCTCTCACTATATATATATATATATATATATATATATATATATATATATATATATATATATATATATATATATATATATATATATATATATATATATATATATATATATATATATATATATATATATATATATATATATATATCGTTTGCTCTTACGCTAGCAAGTCCTGTGAGGATTCTGAGTACAAACGTAAGGTAGACATTTGTTCTGGTGGCTACTGGAATTAGTAGGCTGCAAGCAGCAGTGATGACCATGTAGACAGTGATTATACGTTTGCCTCCGTAACGACTGGCGAGCCAAGCTCCCGGGATTTGAGTTAGAATCACGCCGTAGAAATAGGATGCAAGTAGGGACGATTGTAACGACTTGCTCCAGTCAAATTCTGCTCTCTGTGAGTAAAAGTCTAGTACAAGTTAAATATCCATTTAAGGGATCTTATTACAGATATTAATTAAGAAACAAATATTCTAAACATTTGAAAATAAGCATTCGTTAAGTTCCAATATATATATATATATATATATATATATATATATATATATATATATATATATATATATATATATATATATATATATATATATATATATACATATATATATATATATATATATATATATATATATATATATATATATATATATATATATATATATATATATATAGTAGGCTTATTGCAGAGGTATGCTTATTTTCAGGGGAAATAAAAAATATGTTACTCTTCAGACATTTCGCTAAGATGTCTGCAGTGTGGCAGTTTATAGTAATGTTTAGCAATGGGCCATCATGACGCAGACATGTAGCATGATGTCCCACCCATTCACATTATCCTGATACAAGGCCAACCAGTCCTAATACTATCCTCTTAATGCTGAAGGACAAGCGAGGCAGCTGTTAGTACCATTTTCGTAAGTCTTTGGTATGATTCAGCCGGGGATTGAACCCACGACCTCCCGCATCCGAGGCGGACGCTATAACCCCTATGCAACGGGATCGGTCACAAATAAAAATATTCTAGTGCACCTAATAAATAAATAAATAAATAAATAAATAAATAAATAAATAAATAAATAAATAAATAAATAAATACATACATACATACATACATACATACATACATACATACATACATACATACATACATACATACATACATACATACATACATACATACATACATACATACATACATACATACATACATACATACATACATACATACATACATACATACATAGTATTCACCAGATATTTATGTGGCTCATTTTAAAAAGAAAATAGTCTTTCTTGCATTCGAATGAAACTTTATGGAGAAATGTTTCCAAGCTAGGTTAGACCCACTTTCCATGCGAGTTTAAGTTTAAATACTTGTAAGGTACTTGATTAGAACCAAACCTTTGTATTTTAAATCAAATCTTTGGTGTTACATTGGTGCGCATTTTGGAGAAAGATGTAAATCATAGCTATAAATCAATAGATTTTGGATATTAATACTGCTGCCTGTAGCACCGCTAGGAAAAGGACAAAGCTTCAATAGTTTGATTTACCTCGTACTCTTTTTCCGCCTCTGATATAATCTCTGTACATGGACTGCTTTCACTTTCGTCTGTATCTGGGGGAGGAGACAACGAATAATTGGATTCCACTACAATTTTTGCAGGCCTCAGCGTAATGTTGTTCATTTGTCCGTGCATGCTTCTATTGTCTAGTTGCGGTAACCTGACCATGCACACTATGGCTAGGCTCAGATTGACCCTGTGAGCGTACGCAATAAAATTTGCAGAAAACAGCATGTAACAAAGAATCCAACGCTGAGATGAGAAGCAAGGGACTTTATCTTCATCTTTATCCTCTAAAAGGGAAATAATAATAATAATAATAATAATAATAATAATAATAATAATAATAATAATAATAATAATAATAATAATAATAATAATAATAATAATAATAATAAATGTTGAATTTGCTAATGTCGTTATTATTGATGAATATATACGAATATATTAGAACGAGTGTATGTGCAAGTGTCAGAGAATAGTTTTACTTTCTAAAAACAGAAAGAAAAAACCTAAAAGAAACGTAATATTATAACCAAAGTAGTGACTGGACGAAACAAAATGTTTCCCCTAAACGTTTTATATTCTGTTTAAGAAGATTTTCTAACAATACTTGCAGCAAAAACAAAATTTTCTTACACGACGTTTAGCATGGCTCACAAGGAATCAATGTAAAATAGCTCATAAATATTATACAAATACTAAGGAATATGCTACCCTCATATCTGAGAAAAGAATGCTCTATTTCTTTCTTCAATAGTTGATTTCGAAGAATTCTTAAAAGTGAAATATTCTATGACCCCTTATGTTTTACTCGACAAAAATACAAAAAGTACCTGGACTTCTTTTAAGTGGTTTTGAGAAAAAATACGATTTAATTACGGGGCCTTTTATTTCATAAATTTCTAAAGTTTTATAAATTTTAGCAAGGCTGGATCCATTTATTCTATAAAAATTTGAATTGTTGTCACTGTAAATGAGCAATGTTCAACATGATTTGAAATCAAGAGAAGATGTAGGCAATGTGATCTCCTATGCCCATACATTTTTCTTTCATGTGCAGTTATATTAGTCCATTTGATTTGGAAAAATCCAAATATCAAAGGAATTAAAATTTAAAATATACAAATTTATCTAGTTTCACAGTATGCAGATTTCACCCTGCATAACTCAGAGAAGTCCCATAAGTCAGTCAAAGATTTTATCCACCAGTATTCGAATTTTCAGGGCACAGTATAATGTTGAAAAAAAGTGAACGTGTATGGATATGAAGTATAACTGGAAGTACTATAAGGTGTTGTCAAGGATATCATTTACATTGGAATACATCGTATTTCATATATAAGGTATTCCATTCTAAATCGAGTTAGATGATATGTTCAATCTCATTACTTAACTTTTACAGTGGTCGAAAAGATCACGTACCCAACATGGAAGAACAAATTGTAGTTGTAAAAAGCTTGTCCTATCTAAGTGCACTCACCAGTTTCTATGTTTACCAAACCCACCTAAAGCCAAGCTTCAAGCGCTGGATGTACTTTTCGGTAGGCTTATTGGGGATGGCGAAAAGATAAATTAAAAAGGAAAGTCTTGTGTAAAGAGTATTTTTAAGGAGGTTTGAAAATATTAGATATAAAATTATTTATATATTAATTGGAACTTTCTTGGGTGAGAAGACCTGTCACCTCTAAACCTAAATAGAAGGTGATGTTAACAACTTCCACGCCAAATACAGACATGTTTTTGACTTCGATATAGATTTTATCACAAAGGTGAAAAATATATTGAATACATTCTGGACTAATGAGTATACAGAAAATATAGAATTACACGATAAATTTAATACAGAGAACTCGGAAGAATTTCTTAAAACTCCAATATGGACAAACTCTAATTTTAAAGCTGAAAACGTTTGAAGAGAATGTACACGCACTGGGTGAAAATGGGAATTTAGTATGTGAAAGAGCTAGGTAATGAAATCGGTTCATGGATAACAACATATGATTTTTGTAATAAGTTTGAAATGCATAACAACATCCTAGATTTTCCATGCATGCTCAGGGCCACTCAGTTTCTTTCCCAATAAACATCATATCAACAATAATTCAAATATATATATATAACCCATTTTTACATAAAACTCAAATTTTGCCCACTAAGGAAAAAAGGGTCTGTAAAAAAAAACTAAAAATGAATACCTCTGTGACAATATCGGTATTGAAATGGAATCAAGAATATGAGTTTATTTGATGAGAGTGACGGGAAGGAATTTTTTTTCTTGTCTAGTAAAATGACTGAGTGTCCTAAACTAAGATAGTTTGAAACTAAAATAATGCATATAATTTTAACAACAAATACAATGCTGAGCAAAATTTAAAAGGTTCTTCCTAGCACATGCTGTTTATTTAATAACTCCTTAGAGATTTCATCTCTTATTTTTTAGGAACTGTTCCAAAACCTGATCCATTACTTACACGTTTTATTGGGTGTATAAGGAATAACTAATCATCCACACAATTGTAAGGTTTAAAAAAGAGAATTTATTCCTGGTATAATAAACCAAACCAAATGAGATACTGTGATTAATATCCTTTTGTTTCAATTGAAATCATAGACCTATAAATGTAGATTTCGCAATGAAAAACCAAACACTGCAAATTTATGAAAAGATATGAAGTATAATTATATGTCAGTAAAATATTATACATATATCAATTGTACATTGAAAAAGTATGATGAAAATTGAAACTATACAAATATCTCCTCGAATGATTCATACTATATTTTCAAATCACAACTACAATTTAATTAAGCTCAGATATGTCCATATATGAAATTATGCATTTGTGCAGTTAAGGAGGTATGACTTCATTTATTTTGTTGTTGGGTGTATTGGAAAGGACAAAGAAGCATTAATAACACACACACAAACACACACACACACATATATATATATATATATATATATATATATATATATATATATATATATATATATATATATATATATATATATATATATATATATATATTGTTATGTATATCGAACTTGCATTATTTTGCAATTTTAAAATTATTTCTCTCTCTCTCTCTCTCTCTCTCTCTCTCTCTCTCTCTCTCTCTCTCTCTCTCTCTCTCTCTCTCTCTCTCTCTCTCTCTCTCTCTTATTTGAAGAAGTATACGTTCACCTATCGTCCTTGAGGATATGCCTTTGAAGAATGGCCTATCCTGAATCTTTACCATTTTGTCCTTTATGACGATAGAGCCAAGTGTTTCTTTATCAATGTTATCCATTCTTTATTGCAGCGTGTGGTTTTGTCCAGGAGAATATGTAACGCGCAAATGGAGGAGGTCTCGTCTGTGTTTAATGCTTTTTTCTTGAGAAAGAAAGTAATAAAAAAAACGTTTAGCTAACATGACCGAAGTGCATGTAATATATACCTCATATCATATAGGATATTTTTCTAAACGAAGCATTTTTGTTACTAAGCTTTTGGGACATACGAACAAATGTACCAAAATTTCTTCGAGGAAAATTGTCATCTCGTTTCATAATTCCAGACGGATATGACTATGAAACACACTGATAACATTCATAATTTTGAAACATGTACTCCAAAGGTTAAGAGAAAATATCTGGTAAACACATCCATGCTATGGGAGGTATTTCCTTTCTTTATTTATTCCACTTATATTCTGATTATAATACATCTATAATACGGCCAAAAATTCGTTAATTTGCATTTACATTGTGTATAGATGAATATCATCCCGGAACTAAATCACAGAGGCACGCTGTAATACAATGTATGGCACACCTCCACTACCCACCCACCCACACAAGGCCGGACATAGACCCATTGGACCGATATGGCCCAAGTCCGTTCATGCACCCACACCTTACGTTGTATATTATGATAAACTTTTCCAATATGGATACATATTCAAACTATAGGGCTAAAGATAAATAAAATAAACTTGTCCTACCCACCTGAAACGTTTTGGGCCTTGCTTGGCAAAACTGATACTCTCTTATCCTTAAACACTTACACTTGCATAGTCAAACGCAATGTTTTATTAGGTCAAATTACCTTATCTTAAGTCACACGATAATTTGACGTACTTGTCTACCGCTCTAATCGTTACGAAGTTTGAAATCGAAGGGAAGTAACCGTTCTTGTCCTCGTGTGGGTAAAGTTGTCTTTACTCATATTTCCATCTAATGATCACGAATAAATACATATATTGGCTTTGGTATTCTTAAAGACATAGTTTGCGTTGATTATTCATTTACTTGCTTTCTACTGTACGTAAGTACGCCTCACAAACAGTTACATCGATTATTTAATTTACATTCTTTCTACTGTACGTATTTACGCCTTACAAACAGTTACATTGTCTCTTACAATGTTATCTATGCATCCCTCACACTTAAC